CCTATTTGAGATGGGGAGATAAGTTTAAATTAAACAATATGATGGGAAAATAATTTCTTTTCTTATAAATGATTGATGATTTCCATCACAAGATTCTTGTGTCTTTTCAAGTGGTCTAAAATTGACTTTAAAAAAGCCAGTGTACATTGTTCAAATCGGAAATCTTAAAGATTAATATCAGATTAAAGTTAACCACTTCTTCATCTTAAAAAGTCATTCTTTGCTTTTAATTATTCTCAAGATCTGTTGATAATATTGAGCTTTATTTATGAAAACTGAGCAGTTACAAATGGGAAAAAAATTAGAGTAAAGAAAAATAGTGTTTTTTAACTGCCTGAAGAGAAATACAATAGATTGACACAAATGGTTTGCACTACAATAGATAAAAGCCCCTTCTATTTTGTGAAAGAGTAAGCTTTTCTTTAAGTTAGGATGTACTTTTTGTTACTGTTAATGGTGTAGTACTGTTTCACAGGGGAAATTTAATCATTCTCCCATTGAACTAATAATCCAGCATGTCAGTAGGAAGAGGCAGGTCCGTGCCAAATCACACAATCTAAAAAGATAGGACAAGAAAAGAAAGAAAAAATATGCCACATTTTACAGGTTGGAAGCCATGGATCTCAGTGAAAAGGGGGTTTTCTGATGACCAGCCATATTGCCTGTAGTCCTGTTAGATTTGTTTTGGGACCTCCTCTCCTGATGGCCCAGGACAATGGATATAAAAGGACATTTCTTTCTCATCACTAGCATACAATTTGAGGTGTTTTTTGTAAAGTGCATTGCACACAGCATACAAGTGGCCAGCACAGGCTTGGGGCAAATAGCAGCTTCTGGATTGCTCATGTGGAGTCTGAGATTTCTTGTCAGAATGCCAGTATGTGCATGGTATGTGCTTAATGGAGAAAAGTATTACAGAACACCCATCTGAAATACATGCCTTGAATTCAGCATCACAGCTTGCTTTTCAAATCACCAGAACCATAAGAATCTGTTTGAAACTGATTTAATTTGCTTAAATTGCCTTTCTTTTCGAATTCCTGCAGCCATGAGCTCCTGCCTTATTGAAGAAGTTTTGTTACTGGATTGTGTTGACACCAGAAATGACTAGGCTTTTGTTTGAAATGAACTGTTTTATGTCCATAAAATTCTTAGATTGAAGAAGTGAACTGTGGTTTTCCAGTGCTGGTAGGTGATAAATCTGCAAGTAGGAAAAGAGCAGAAGTTGTTATTAACAAACTAAAGTCAGCAGGGTAGGCAAACCTGTGCTTTCCCCAGACAAGTTCCTCAAGCATGTCATGAATTAATTGCTTAAGGTAGCACAAAGCAGGATTAATTATGAGTACTTTCCTGAGCAGGGATGTTGCAATTAGTTATTTTTGAAAGCTGTCTTTATGGGGCAGTTGAAATACTATGTATATCAAGTTCCCAGCTGCTATTCAGTGTTAATTTACTGTTCCCTAAGTCATTCCTACTGTGTGGTTTGAAGATAAAATAGCATAGTTTTTCTGAGGTATATAACAAACATATAGAAAATGAAGGTATTTTGTGCTTATTTTGATAGGCAGTTTCCTGTTGCAAAGGTAAGGTACACAGGTAATTTAGTTAAATATTCCATTAAATAACAGACAAACAAATATTGTTTAATGAATAGTGGTGAAGGTTTAAATTGATAGTAGCAGTTTTTGTAAGAGCCCAACAGGTTTTCAGCAAAAATTAAAAGTATTTGCACATTACCAAAACTTCACAGTATCTTCTTTTTCTGTACCAAGAGGTGTCTGTTGCTCCAAAAACTGTTAAAAGCAAATCCAAAGCCTAAACCCTTTACAATACTGGACACAACATATGGCTGGATATGTGCCCACATTTCACAAGTTTGGGACTTTTTTTAGATTATGATGATGTAAACAATATGTCTGTGATTTTCACCTTCAAAATAAGAAAATATTAAAAATCACTACCATGAATATCCATTTGGAAGTTTGTTGTCATTTATTGCTTTATTTTGTTGTTCTTCATCTCCCAGCACTAACTGGCCTTTGTTTCTGGCTCTTTGTCCCTGTTTTTACACTTGTGCTGCTCCATGCTCTTGCTCCTGCTGACTCTCTGGTTGGACTTGTCACTTCTGAGAAGATTCCTGCTGCTAAGGGGCTGCCTCCTCAGTCTGTCAGGGGGGTTCTGCCTTTTGTGTCCACTCCCCTCAATTTGACTTCATTTTTCTCCTGCAGCTCCTACAGCTGTCAGGTTTCTGTATGGTTTTCCATATCTCATTCCAGGCAGCTATTATATTTTCTGGGTTTTTTTTTTTTTTTCAGTTTGGGGTTTTAGTTTTCATTTTTGCTTCTACAAAATAGCTTCATTTTCTACTTTACTAATGAACTATAGACTTCCTTTTATAACTCTGTGCAGAAGTATGCATGGTGATTTCTCCATAGAGAAAGTGGAGGATATAAATATGGAAATATCCCTTTTGGCTTTGCAAAGTTTAATTGCTTTGTATATTATGCAGATTCTGAGGCTGTAAAATCTGATGAGAGTAAGAAGCACATTTGTATATTCACTATCTTAAAAAAGCAGGCAGATTGCTGAGAAATGTGCAAGTTTTTGAGTGTGCAGGTTTGCATCTTGTTGCTGTTATTACAGGGTGTGTAGGGTGCTTGCATGGCTAAGGCTCTTCATCAAATGCAAACATGATGTGTCTAAACTGTGTATTTCACAAAACTTGTGAAAAGCGACTGGAGCAGCTGTGCTGCCATCCTTCTACATGCTGAGATCACAGGAAGCAGAGCTGGAAGGGACCTCAGTACATCCACGAGTAGATCCACCCTAATGCAGGATCAGCTTTCTGAACATTTCCCCAACAGCCATAGATTTTAGAGTTTGAGGCTAGAAATCAAGAAGTTATCATGCTGTGTTTGGTAGTTGACATGATTTTTCTTTTAGTGGTGAAAGTGTAAAATAGGGGTATAATTTAGGATATTTCACTGTGACACCTGAAAATTGTTTGGTGGTTATTTAAAAAAATGTATCTGCAAATGGTCTGGGCCCTGAAGTCAGTAGTCACTGGGTCTGTAAGGGGTATCAGGTAGGCACTGAAATGCCTCACAAAGTTGGAAGTCATTCCAGGATAATTATTCAAGCACTTTCTCCACTCTATTGGTATTCTAGTGACATTAGAAGAAGGACTAACCTCTGAATACACTTTGGAAGTGCAGGCAGCTATGTTTTTAGCTGTCTTGGAGAGAGAGATTCAGATATTAATAACTAGGAGTCTTCCCATGTCCTAGTTTCAAGGATCACCATATTCAGAGAGATGGTTTGCTTTGATCTGGCCACTTGCCTTGAAGTTTCTCTTCACTGGAGGCAATCAGAGAAAAAAGAAAGCAAAAGTATTGATTTGCAAAATTCAAATTAGACAACATAGATACAGAATTTCATGAAGAAAGATGGAAAGAAAGGACATTCAAACTGTTCATGTGTTCCTTAGAATAATTAAAAATCTCTTACTTTTTAAGATCCAGCTTACAGGCTGTTAAAATATTCAGAATCCTGTGGCTGATACCCATTTCTGCATGGATCTAACCCACTTTTTCTGTACAATCAAAATCTCCCCAGGTGAAACTTGCACCAATTACTCCTCCTGTGTTCCACACAACTCTATTTAAGAAGGGAGTTTGCATCACCTTTGCAGCCACCCTTTAAATACTGGAACTTGGTCTCCTCTAAACCTTTTTTTCTCAAGGCTGAGCAAGCTCAGGTCTTCCTGCCTTTCCTTATGTAGCAGCTTCCCAGTCTTTTGAGCATCTTCACTGCCCTTCTCTCTTCAGCTTACATGTCTTTTGTATAGCATGGGCAATATTGAACACAATGTGCCAGGTGTGACTTTAAAAGAGCTGATGAGAGTGGGACAATGACAATCACTGCTAGTGATGGCCTTGTTGGTGTGCCCCAGCACCCAGCTGGATTTCTTGGCTGTTCCCTCGTGTTGAGCTTGTTGTCCATGATGATCCTCAGGTCCCTTTCACTTTCTGGCTGGGCACATAGCTCCAGCTCCTCCTGGTTGCTCCCAGGCTGTGTGTGTCGGTGTGTAGACACCTGAGGTGGTTGCTCTGCTGGTTTTCATCTTGGGAGGCAGCTAAGGAACGTTTGTTGCTGCTCTGGTTGGCCTGGCTTGTCCCCAGGGGTTGCCGTGATGTGTTTAGCGTCGCCACTTGGGACACCCCAAACTCCCTGAGTCCTTCATTTTAACCCTGGCTCACTGAGTGGGACAGCTTGCTGCCAAGGATTCTTTTGCTTCTTCTAGGGACTCTAGAAGAGTTCACAGTGTGAAAGGGAGTTTGTGTAGACCCAGCTTCACATTGTGTTGTCTGAAGCTCTTTCTGGATCTTACTCTAATTCCTTGGTAATTTACAACAGACTCTTATGTATATATAAACATAACACAGAAATTGTACAACCTGATACTTTTAAAAATATATAATTTAATTTTCCTGTATATTGATTCTTTATATTCATTGGCCAAGCTATTGAAAAACACTAGTATGTCAACATTTTAAAATGAGTTACTGTAGGAGATAGAACAAGTAAATAAAGGTGGTGTAATCTTACCCCCCAAAGAGTTGCAGCTGAGTTAATTATTAAGGATTAGGAGCAGGCCTGATGTTAACAGGCTGCAGCTGTAACCAACAAGAAGAGTGTTATAAAAGAGTGGATTGGTTGGCTGAGGGAGTTGGAGTCAATTGGCTGCAGTAAGGACAAGGAAGAGTCAGTGCCTGGAGGAGCTGCCCACAAGAAACATCAAGGAGGTGTGAAGCTCCAGCAATATGGAACCCTTGCAGTATAGTGACACTAGAACTCTTGCACTATAACGACAACAAGTTATCTTTTGATGTTTAAAAATAATAGATAATTTAATGGAGATAATTATTTATACAAAGAGGGAAAGCATAGGTTGTCATGTTTGAATCTGCCAAAAAAAATCAAACTCTTTTGTCCACTAGGTGTTGAGAGTGTACAAAGCTGCAGTGCAACAGACTTTGGATATCCTCTTCCTCCCAGAAGGAAGAGAATTTCTTACCAGCACAGACGCCGTGAGCCGGGACTCGGCCGATCGCACCATCGTTGCGTGGGACTTCCAGAGTGCTGCAAAAATCTCCAATCAGATCTTTCATGTAAGATCAACTATTGTTGTTGGGGTCATGATTTAATATTTCATATTTGTCAGTGGAGTAAAAAAAGCATTTGATTTTCAAGAAGATCTTGTGATGTAGAAGATGTCTTTCATGTAAGTTGATGACTTTCTTTGTTTTCACAATTAATACTTAGTTGTTATTAAAAAATAACCTTGAAGACTGAGAGGTCTCCTTGTGTTTAAAATATTTACATATCAGTGCTAATTCATTGACATCTAAGCTATATTTAGGCAAGGACTCTGCAGTGTCATTGTGGTTTGCCAGTGGTGCATGGCAGTAGCTGCTGTAGTGCAATGTTTCTTTTCCCACACTTTTTCATACATTTGTCATCAGCTGCTCTGAGGGCTATTGACAAATGGAGTTTAATATTCATAAAGGAATAGCAACCTGATATGTGCATATAGATACCTAATACAGACTAATCACAGAGGCAAAATTTGCATTTATCAGTGCAGGTGCAGTATTTCTCAGTCATCTAACCAAGCAAGACATTTAATGGACTAAATTGTCTAGAAAGGCTGACAGCTTCAAAGGAGATTACCAAGGCAGTTAATAGAAAATTTCAACTCTCTGAGTCTTTTTTGAATACCCAAGTCTAATATCCTATGTAATATAATATGATTGGATTGTATATGGATGCTTTTTGGCTGAAATGAGCAGTACTCTGCTGACAAGAGCACATAGTTGATGATTTAATGGGATTTTTTTAGTGTTTAATTTCCAGAATTGTGCCTTTGTACTCTACTGGATCTATCAATACCTTGGATAGACAATAGGAAAGGAAAAAAACCAAACCCGTGAATATATAAATTACAGACCAGAAAGATTCAGCATCAAGGAGAAACAAACAAACATGACTACAGTATCTCTGAAATGGACTTTCTCCCCCTCCACCCCTACCTTTCTGCACTGTGAATAAACAAAATGTGTGATGACTTAGCAAATTCTGCTTCACTTTTCTGAATTTCACCTTTGAAACCTTTGAAGTGGGAGTGAAACCCACAGCTCTCCAAACAGATTAGATCGCAACAGGACTTGTTCTATTGCTTGTCTGCATTAACAAATGACTAGTTAACAGCTCTAAAATAACCCATCACTACAACATACCCAGCATGACAGCAGCATGCTCCTGCAGCTTGTGTTGTGCTTTCTAGTCCCACACTTCCAGACCCAGTTTCTCTGCAGAAATACACAGTTGCACTGTGCCCAATACTTTACAGTACCCAGAACTTCCTTCCCAGCCCTTCACTTCCAAATCACAAAACAAAACCAATCTGATGTTCTTCCTGCTCTACCACACAGCCCATGGTGTCGTGGTCACTGTTATCCTGGTGTTCCTCACATGCAGATGGATCCTACAGCCAAAGCTCTCATGGCATCAAAACTCAGCAATCTTTAGGTCAGGCTGAAATTAGAAGTGGTTTGGACCTGGTGGAAGCCTTGTGAGAGCAGTTGATTTCTGAGGGAGTCACCATGCAGAGTTTTGAAAGTAATCTTAATTCAGCCTTAAATAGGAACTGTATGGTAAAGCCAAGTCTTACTAATTACTGCAGTTATTTAGGAGTTTGCAGCCAGCAGCAGCCCACATCACTGTCATGAGGAGGCTAATAATGATCTTTTATTTTTTTCTTCTTTTTTGTAAGAGTGGGATGGGGAAAGGTGTCTGTTTCAATCAGATGTTTTCTGTTCCTGTCAGTCTGGCCAGAATTGGGAGGATGGAGGATTTGAGAACTGTATAAAGTAACATGGAAAGCACAGTATGGCTGTGGAGGAAGGGATATGGGAGAAGAAGATTCACTTTGACATCCAAACTTTGGGTTTCCTTTGGCAAAAGCTGATGATGGAGAGCCATCTGGTTGGAATTACCTTTCTGCAGCTGTTCTGTGGTATAATTATGGCTCAGATGGATAGGGGATTTCGGTGAATATCTAGGAAAACAAGGTAGAGGTTTGAGTTAGCCTTTGTAGTTATGTAAGGTTTGTAGTGATTTAAGTATCTTTATAAAATATATTAATGGAGATGACTTGTCCTTACTTTGTCCCTCATGGGCTCTCAAATATGTCAAGAGCTAACTTGAATCATTTGAACTCATCTGTTTGATACAACAAAACTTTCTTTAAAATCCTTTTCAGGAGCGTTACACTTGCCCCAGTCTGAGCCTGCACCCAAGGGAGTCTGTGTTTGTTGCTCAGACCAACGGGAACTACCTGGCTCTGTTTTCTGCCCAGCGACCCTACAGAATCAACAAAAAGAAAAGATACGAAGGACACAAGGTATCCTTCCTCACCAGGAGCTCAGTATCCAAACTTAAAAGGAAGATTGATAGCAAAGCACCTCTACTTTTTAATATGTCTGCTAATAGTGTTTTATTATAAATCAGTGATAGATATTAATTGGCTTCATTTGCTTTCCCATGTGCCAGTCTATTTTGAATCAAATGCACTCTGAATGAAATAGTTATTAGAAGGCTTTATGAATGCTTAATGTCTTGATTAGAAAAGTTTTTGCTACAGCTGTGTCTCAGTAAAGACCTGGAGAAATCTTTAGTGTATATTTATTTAAAGACATGCAGGTTTTGTACTATATTAATTTTCAGTGTACCTCAATGAACTTTTCTGATCAGCATCAAGAGTTACTCTGTTATTGTTTTTCACAGGTGGAAGGATTTGCAGTGGGCTGTGAATTTTCTCCAGATGGAACACTTTTGGTGACGGGAAGTTCAGATGGCAAAGTGTTTTTCTACAACTATCATACTTCAAGGATTATTCGCACGCTGTCTGCACATAAAGAAGCTTGTGTGAGTGCAACATTTCACCCAGTCTTGCCATCACTCCTTGCAACATGTGATTGGGCTGGAGAAATCAAGATCTGGCAATAACAACCAGAGTTACTTTTTAGGATGTCTCTCTCCTGTTAGTCTGTCAGAGGCTTAGGAAATAAGCCAGAGTATGGAATGTGAAATTCTGTTGGGATGTGTTGTAAGCAGGAGAGAGACTGTTGTCTTTTCTTCTATGACCTCTATGTTTGTGCTTTCATAATGCAGTTAAGATGGTTTTATGGTTGGCTGTTGAGCAAAGAAATGGTCCTACTCTCTCCCTCAACCCTGGAGACAAATTTTTAACCCTTTTGTGTCAATCTTGTGCTCATCAAGTCCCATTCTGCTTTGAGCAAGCACCTAAATTTAAGAAAATTATTGTTCTTTTGATGCATCTTTTCAATGCAGCTTTCTTAGACCAGAGTTTATCACAGAATCATAGAATCATTTAGGTTGGAAAAGAACTTTAAAATCACTGAGTCCAAGCTTTAACCCAGTAGAGCCAAGGCCACCACTCAACCACGTCCCACAGTGCCACATCTGCAAATCTTTTAAATACCTACCTCTAAGGATGGTGATTCCACCACTTCCCTGGGCATCCTGTTCCAATGCCTGACAACCCTTTGGCTGAAGAAGTTTCTTCTATTATCCAATCTAAACTTCTTCTGTCAGGAGGAGACTGTTTCCTCTTTTCCTCACCAAAAGTTGAGGACACACTATTTAACAAATGATGATATTCAGATCAGTGAATACCTATTCCATCTTCCTGAAATGTTTTTTCCCACTTTTTTGAACTGGTTTAGCTCCCTGACCTGATCAATGTAGGGTTAGAGAAGTAATATTGTGGTTCAAGGCAAAACAGCTTCCATGCACAAGAAGGGGGAAGGTCACAGGGCAGGTGGGACTGCTTCTTCTGAAAATGGAAGGTCTATTATCAGTTCAGTTTACTGTAAATGCCTTCTGAGAGTTCCAGGGAAAGGTGTGACAGATGGCTTGAACCTAATTTTGAAGTCAATACACGTGTGGTTTTGAAATCCTGGTGTTTAAACTTGAGTTTTAAACTTTTATTACTGTGTAAAAAGAGAAAGAAACTATGTATAAATACTTTTAAGGAAGAAATAAACATTTTTTAAAAATACATGCTATCTTTGTTTACTCCTATTATTCTTGACAAGATAGTACACAAGCTTATAATGGATTTGATGCTTGGGGGTGAAAACAATTAACATTAATTTATTGCAAACACATATGCATTTTTCCATAGTTCTTGATGTTGCTTGGACACAGAAATTGTCATCATGCTATTCAGTGCAGGGGAAGTTCTTCAGCACTCAGACAGGAGCTGGGCTATTCTTCAGCAGATATAAATTTAATTAGGCCATTAGTATGTATTTACATACATAGAGATTGTTTGTAACTGTACTTTAAATTTGTGTTCCCTGCAAGTGTATTACTTGGTTCTAGAAAATATTTAATGTGCATGTGTGTGTACATGTATGAAAAATAATATGTCTGTGCATCACATAAACCATATGTAATCCTATCATGACCCCATATGTTTATATGTATTATCTTGTACATAAACGTTTATATGTTTATATGTATTCTCTTGTAGTGAGTGCTGTAAGCTTGTCTTGTCTTTGGTCTGGTTAGTCTGGAAAGGTGTTTTAACATAAACAGGATAATGGTGCTGAGTAAATTGTCTCTATCATGGAATCCATAAACTCGATATGGTAGCAACTTCTCTGTAGCACATTTTTATTTTTCTGATTTTTCATATTGGCACAAATGCAAGGGGTTTCTGTCCACTTTTTTGCATGCTCAGTAAAAATAGGTTTTTCAGTGAAAAATTTTCAGAGCATCCTTGTGAACAGCAGATTTTAATTATTAATGAGCATAATGTACTCCATTGGTTTGTAGTTTATGTTCCTTATTGCCTGTGGTAAGACATAAGCCTGTACCAAGGCTGTGGGTCCAGTTTGAAGTCTGGACCAAGATTGTATGGCTGCATGGTTTTAATCACCTTACCAACAGCTATGACAGGTTTTAACATAGGGCATTAAATTTAAGTGAGTCTTGCAATGAAAAAGCAGCTTTTTCTTTGTTTCCCAGATTGCTGTTTATTTTTTGCTTCCTTGTGCAGCAATGAGCTGTTTAACAGGAGCCTGGAGTTTGCACTTTTCACTGTGCCTCTAGTACAGAAGCCAGCTGTACCTTTAAATAGAAACTTGTTTGGTGGTTTTGAGTTACTCCTAATTCAAGCTGTGGGATCCTCATAAAAGTCAGGAGGAGGTCAGCTGGAAGTGAAGTAGCCCTTGCCTGTTGCTAGGCAGGCTGGATCCCAACTGCACAGCATTTTCCAAGGGGGTGGCTCTGTGTTCTTCCCTCCTGGTGTTTTAATTCAAAATGTGCTGTTACTACTTAAAAACTTTGGGCAGCCAGGTGTGTCTTATATGAATGATGGGCAGCACTGTAATTGTTCCTGTTACAACCTGGTATCTGTCTCCATGGGAGATTATCTGTTATTTTGTTAAGTACAGCCTTGAGAAAGGCCCTAAAATACATGTGAGCTCATGGTAGAAATGGTTTTTTGGAAGAGGCCTGAGCTGATGTGAACATTTCCCTCTATGTGAGTGAGCTCTGAGCACACTCAGCCTCAGTGAGAGCACATCTGGATAGAGGGAAGGTCCTGAGGGAGCAGACTTTGGGAATCACTGCCAAGAAAAGTAACTGCATTTTGTATGATTACTCATGTTGTTGCTTAAGTTTAACTCGTGTACTGAGGTGTGATTCTGGTGTCTACAATTTATCCCTCCTGAAATTATCTTGCAGATATAAATTGTAGACTATTTGAGGGGTGGAGAGGGAGGGAAAACCTTAAATTTGATTAAAGGTGGTACAGAAAATAAAAGAAACTTGAAACTGTATAATCTTAAAGAATATTAAAGTTAGAATTGCATTTGTGTCAGATTTCCAAGATGGCTGGAGTTTAATTACTTAGAAGATCCAAAGGTTTTATCATGCAATGATATTGTTTTCACAGCATCATCTTGTTAAAATCTCTTTCTAATATAAAACTGATTAAGACACAGACTGAAATTTAGTCATTGAAAATACTTCAGAAGAGTGGTGTCAATTAAGTTTTCATTATGATTCAAACACAAATTCTTCCTTGTTATCTTATGTAATGAACTGTAATCAAAAAATATCCACATTATTCCATCACTCTGCAATTACCAAATACTATTTGGGCTGCATACAAGGATTATTATGGTCAGATGAAGCTTTTAGAATGTAATAAATTGTTGGTTAATTAATTTTATTCATAAAATTTTAATGTATAAATGTTTGCATCTTGCTTTAGGAGAAATTCTTTTAGATTTATATAAAGGTCTCTAGGGTATCATATGTTAGAGCCAAGGCAGAGTTTTCCAGCATTTTGAAATGGTCTAGACTGTGTAGATAAACAAGCCAGATTAATTTTCATCTATTTTGTACTGTACCAAAAAGTAATAATGGCAGTCTCTACCACTTTATTATTTGCTACTGGAGCATTATTAATTTGGGGTGTCAGAGGATGCAAGCTATTCAACTGTCTTTATCTCAAAAACCTGCTAATTAGCAGACAGTTATTAGAATCATGTGTTCACTCAGCTGAAATACTGTTGGTGAGTCACTATATTTCAGCTCTTGGCTTCATCATAAAAATAAGGTATGGCATTACAATGGGATTGCTTGTTCTGTAGGGGACAGGCAAATGTAAAGGTACAATACTACGGCAGAACAGAACAAAGCAGGCAGATCAAAAAATTGTGGGATCTCAAATTACCCATTATCCTTACATAAGGGTTTGGCCTGCACTCAACTGAAAATATTTGCTCTTCTTTCTTCAGCTAGCCTTGATCTCAGTCTCTGAATCCCAGCTCCTCCTAGTCACTGCTTGCATCCTCACCATTTAATTTTCATTTTTTCTGTCCTTGTCTCAGCACCTTGTCTTCTGCATTTAAGGGTATAGCAGTCTGTGTGCTTACACTACATTCATCTTCACTTTTTCTTTTTACTGCACTCTGACTTGAGACTTTCAGGCTTTCATTTTAGCTGTCATTAGAAAGGCAGGCAGAAATCCCAGAGCACTCTGCACTCCATTCTTGCCTGTTTTCCAGTTTTAATGAGGCTTATTATTTTTGGAGAGTCTCCCCTTTTCTTAGCCTCTCCTCTGTCTGCTTCTCTTTCTACCTTTGATTACTGCTCTACTGTCTTGCAGATCCTTTTTACTATATCAGTTGCTACAAGGTTTACCTTGTCAGGAGTGCAATTTTGTGGAAAAAAAAAAACAAAACCAAAGAAACCTCACCCACCAAGTCTCAGAGTTATTGCCACTTACAGTGCTTTAGCTCAGAGTGTGCAAACTGAGTTGCCTTCAAATGAATTTAAATGAGAAGATGTGCTCTAAGACCATATTTATTATGTCCCAGCTGGTGGGACTAAACTGGAGATAGTTCAGAGTATCCCCTACTCCCCCAAATGCTTGTAGGTTAGATACTGTGATTTCAGAAGTGAGACAAGCTACACATTTACTCCTTTGGGCCTTACCACTTGCAAACATGAATGTAAGCCTCAGGAGCTTCAAAGAGTCTTTGGTGATTTCCCCTTTCTTTGATAAATTTCTCACTGCTCTCTTCATTACTCACCTCTCTGTGCAGAGTGGCCACAGTCTGATGTTTTCACACTTCAAAGAATTGAAATGCAGGGAGTTGGTTTATGAGGGGGAAAAAACGGCAGTTTTAGAGGTGCTTGATCTCCAGTAAGATGAGCTGGCCCTGCCCCAGAGCTGGATGAATCCTTCCAGATGTGCAGAATGACCCAGCTGGGACAGAGCAGCCTGGCATGGATGGGGATGATGGGTCTCTGGAGGGGGGTAGGACTCCCTGTACCTGATTTGGGTGGAGGTGTAAAGGAACTCATTTTATTCACCTCCCTTTCCCATGCCTGGGTATCCTACATAAGCTTATTTAGAAGCCTACCAGGAAGTACCTGGGCACTGCACAGAGATGATAAAGTTTCATCCAAAGGTAATTCTCACTACATTTTCACAATTTTGCATAAGTGCCTCTTAAAATCAATCTAAAAACTTTTTCAGGAAGACTTTGGAGAAGGTTGAAGTTCACCAAGGTTGAAAGTGCCTGAAGTTATGCTCCAGACAGTTTCAGCTAGATCCATTTGTCTCCAATTTCCATCAGCAGGGCAGCAAAACTCAGGTATCATTCTCAGGAAGATTTCTACTGAGGAACTGTTTGAAGTGCATCCTTAGGAGAGCCGCTTATGTAACAACTTGTGCTTAAGTGTACCTTCTCTGGTACAAACCAGCTTACACTGAGAAAGCAATTTCCCTATGTTCAGATTAGTACCACTTGTTTATAAGCAAGTAGCAAAGCATTGCCTCTGAATATAATTTAGCTATATTTCACCATGAACTATGTTATTTTTATGTTTTATTGTGTAACCACTTCCTTTGTTGGCTTGCTGCTAAGAGTTGTAAGTAAATTCCAGAGGTCTTCCATCTCATGGTCTGTAGGAAATTATTTAAGTTGAACATGAGGGAAAGAATGTCATAGCTTACACATATGTTATAATTTATTTATATATAATAGAGCAAATAAAATACTTTGATTAATTCATTTTCCTTGCTTCTTTAATCCTCGCTAAGGCAAGTTCTTGTTTGTAAAAAGAGTTTCTTAAAAAGATCTATTCCCCCCACCAGTCTGGATGGTTAGTTTGCGCATATTTGCTATTTGCTTTAATGCATGGAACTACTTGAAATGCAGACATTAGTTCAAATCACATATTGCTTTTGGTACAAAAAGGAAAGTGTTTATTATGCCATTAATATGAAACATGCAATCTGTGAACTCTAGGCGTGTCATGGACTAATTTTTCTTTGTTGCAACCTCAAACAGGTAATGTTTTGACCAGATACATCACCTCAGAATCTGGGCAAAAGCCATGAAGTGAAATCTTAATCATATTCAAAATCTCATCTTTACCCTTCTCTGGGCAGCAGCCTGGCTGAGCAGAGCTTCCACTTGTCAAAGTGCCCGTCACCATCCAGGGGTAACTTCGTGGTCCATTTCAGCTGGGGA